CCTGCCTCGTGTTCAGCACCGTCTCGGACTTCCACTTGGAGATGCCGGTGGGGAAAGGTGCTGGGTCTGGGCTGAGCATTGAGGCACCTGGTGGGGCTGGTGGGATGAAGTCTGGAGGAGCTGGTGTGCTGGGGGAGGACAGGGCAGAGGCTGGAGGTGGTGGAGCTGCCATGGTGGGAGGTGGTGGCACCAGCTCAAGTGGTGGTGGTGGCGGCGGCGGCAGCATCTCAGGTGGTGGTGGGACCGGTGAGGCTGGAGGTGGTGGCACGGGTGCTGGTGCTGTTGGAGGAGGTGGAGGGGGTATTGATGGTGGTGGAGGGATGTCTTCATCCACACCATCCCTCTCGAGAGCCTGCGGGCGCAGGTCTCCCACCGAGCTGTACATTCGGTAGTTGCCATTGATCTTGGAGCCAGAACCTGCCAGGAGAGACAGAGAGAGCACAGCAGTGTGAGTACCTTCTCTGGCAGCACTGTACCTGTGGTCCTCCCAGGGAGCCAGCCTCTTGCTCAGCTTATCTAAAGCTTGCTGAACCCTATTTTAGCATGAGAAGCTCATGAGCAGACTCTGCTCCAGAGCTTGGTACACACTCTTCCACCCCCAAGGACACAGCACTGCTGAGTGCTTCGAGCTGGCCAGGACTGCAGAGAAGGTCTCTTACCAAGAGCTGCCTTTTCCTCAAAGTCTTCTGGCACTGATGGTGTTGGCACAGCCACCCCATGGGACTCTTGGGCATTCTGTAAGAGTCAGAAAACCAGAGCTGTTAGTTTTACACCCAGAGTATCAGAGCATAGGGCTGACAAGCAGCTGGTAATTGAGCCACACAAACAAGAGCCTGATGGGATCCAGGGCTATTTCCAAGGCACAGAGATCCCTGTTGACAGGATTTAAGGGGATGAGTGAAGTGATCCAAGCTAATAAGCCATGGACACAATTGCCCTGTGGTCAGTATAGAGTGGCTGATTATTATATTTTATAGATATATATTTGGAAAAAAAGTACCAGGAAGAAAAACAAAATAAAGTTGCAATATTATCAGAGATGTTTCTTTGTTTTCTTTCAAGTTAAAGTGCTGAAACTTCCTCCAGGACTAAAATGTGGCTCTGAGGTCACTCAAACAGGATTAAGGCTTTGCTTCCATAGCACAGAAATCTCCAGATGCTCCTTGCATGGAGAAACTTTCATGTTTTGGGGCTGGGGATATTCCACATGACACTTAAATATCCATATAGTTACTCCACAGTCACTTTTCTCCACAAACACATATATTATATTGTTATTATTATATAGTGCATGGCTGTTTCACATTTGATCTCAGGGCTCCCCAGCCCACCAGCAGCAGCACTGGCTTCTCACCTTTCATGTACCAAGCAAATTGAACAGCTCCCATGGGTTTTGTGGATATTTCACTGCCAGCTCATGCCACAGCCAAGCTGGAGTCCCAGACAGACCTCCAGCTTTTTGGGAATCTGGCACCAGCATATCTGAGAGCTCTGGGGAAAACTGCTACTTGTGTGGTTTGTGTTTCCCTCTCAATTACTCCCTTGACATTCATGCTGAAAAATCAGCAGTGCCTTTAGCTGGGACAGGATGGTGCAATTTAGCAGCCTACACATCAGTGAAGATGCCTCCAGCGAGGGCACTTTGGGTAATCACAGCCACCCAGTGTGAGATATTCACAGCAGGTTGACTCACCTGGAGTGCTGATCAGGGCTCCTACCTTGTACACCTGCCAGGAGCAAAAAAGCCTCTCCTTTCCCCCAGTGACTCATTGCTGGGTTTGCTCTGAGGGGGCCTGGAGTCACCCAGGAACGTACAACCAACGCACCCATGGGCAAAACTCAAAGTGATGCTGAATCAGGCACAGATGTGACTGAGGCACTGGGCTGGATGGTCACATACCAACACTGGGAGAGTCCTGGGGGCAGTTTGGGGCACCATAATATGTGTTTCTTAGATAGGAAGTTGTTAGAGAGCATCCAAAAGAGGCTAGGAAGATGGTGAAGGGTCTGTAGGGGCTGAGGTTACTTGGTTTGTTCAGCTGGAGAAGAGGAGACTGAGGTCAGACCTCATCGGGGTCTGCAGGTTCCTCATGAGGGACAGCACAGATCTCTGCTCTGTGTGAGCTGTGACAGGACACAGGGAATGGCTGGAGCTGTGTCAGGGGAGGG